ATCTCCTCTTGTCTCACTAACTCCAGCACACCTAGAAAACAATAGGGTGCGTGAGATTCATAACAGAAACATAGTAAAAATCACAACAAACCACGGAGAAAGATAACCTTCTTGCAGGAAGATCTGAACATATATATATATTTTTTATCCTCTGTAATATTAAACGGGTATGATGTTTTCTACCTGTATCTGCTGCAGCATGGTTCCTATACTCTTCAAGATCTTTGGTTATTAAATTGACCATCTCTTGCATGACGTGAACCCATCCTCTGAGCACATCTTGGTTTTGTTTATCTTGATATAGATAGGGAAAAAATCAAGGAGGTTGTTGAGATCAAGCAACAAAATCTGGCTGAGGAAATTCAAAAGCCGTTGAGCTTTAGACGATGACAACCAAATTTATGTTTCTTTCAAAAAACTTTTATTTTATCTCTTTGCTATTAAATAAGTTTAATAGAATTTGAAGATGATATCTTATGTGTATATTGATTGACAAAAACAATAGAATATCCATGTCTTTTTGTAAGCCTTAGAAATGGAATTCGTTTATATTTTGTAGGTATCTTAATTTTCCGTACGATCGTTCTTATGGATAACATGTAAATTATTGTTTTCTGCAATTATTTTCTCCGTTTCTGTTAACTTTTTATGTTTCGTTTGATAAATGATTAGAGTTCTTTGTTTTTAAAATATTAATGCGTAACTATTTTAAGAAATGTATTTGGTATATTATACATATGAATATATGAGCTCGATTAGTTGTATGAAGAAAGAAACGTATTGATCCAACTCACATAGTATTGACACGTGTTTGGGGAATTTCTTTTTATCTTTTGGTGTAACTATTTTAAGACACGCTTTTGATATATTATACATATGACTATATGAGCTAGATTAGTTGCATGAAGAAAGAAACATATAGATCCAACTCACTTAGTATTGACACACCTTTGGAGAAAATATTTTTATCTTTGGGTGTAACTATTTAAGACATGTTTTATATATATTATACATATTAGTATATGAGCTAGATTAGTTGTATGGCGAAAGAAACGGATAGATCCAACTCACATAGTATTGACACGTCTTTTGGAGAATTTCTTTTAATGCTTTGGCTGTAACTCAAATAGTCTTCCACGCTAACATATGTAAAAAAAAACAAATTATATAATAGTAATTATATAAATATTTATAATATAATAGTATATATTGAATATTCAACGGAAGATCCGCAACAAGAAAAGGCGAAAGGAGCATATGAAGTTTGGACAGTGCTCATTTGACTTCTCTTGGAAGGTGTTAATCAAGGATGGCACGGTAAAAATGGAAGCATGAGCAGAATGACGGTGGAAAAGAAGATTCTACCTATTTTGAATGCCACACTTGGTTGCGAAAAAACTCATAAGCATTATTTAAATAGAATTAAGAGTTTAAGAAGGAGCTATAATAACATGCAAGCGCTTACCTGATACAGTTTTGGATTTGGATGGGATCTTGTATATAAAAAGTACACAGCTCCTGAACAAGTGTGGGATGAATACGAAAATGTGATTTTATTTTTCTAAAGATTAAAATATTTCTACTATAATATTTTTAAACTAATAATATATATATATATATTATAGGCACATCCAAGTAAGAAGACTACGCGAGATGAAATTTTTGAAGATTATGAAGACTTACAGCTAATATTTGAGCAAGGATTAGCTACCGGGAAAAATGCTATTGGTTTAGGGGACGATACCGATGCAGAAACGTTTCGAGCTAAAGATAATGGGCCGTTTGAATTAAATACTAGATCTTTTGGATATACTGGGAATGAAGGATCTCAAGCATCAAGGTTTTCGGATTCAACTTTGCCAAGAAGCACAAAAGGCCCATCAGAAAAGCTACCTCGTAAAAAGAAAGCTAAAAGTGTTGAAGGTGGAGAGTCTAGTAACTCAAACGTGGATGGTATCCATATGGAGAAGTCCTTTAATGAAATGATTAGATTAGCAATCAGGTTGTTAGTTTGATTCAACAAAGAGAAGCCAGGTTGAGAGAAATGGAGAAAAAAAGAATAATATATGGGAAGCAATCAAAGAAATTTCTGGCTTAGAGGGAGATGTTCAGTATGATACACTGAATGAGCTTCACAAGGTGGGGATGAAAGACGTGTTCATCAACATTTTTATTGAAGAAGCTGGACACGTAGAAACTTGAAATGATGCTTTATTTTATAAATTGCGAAGTTTTTAAGTTTTTTTCTTTCTTTAAATAATACCATGTTTCTTGTTTTATTTATAATAAAATTTGTTTCATTTCAGTTTAAGAATAAATTCATATTCAGTAGCACTAATATTATATTTACTTTTTTTTTGAATTTATGTTTTAATTATTATCGACCCGTAAAATTTTTTAAGAGATGATTTTTATTTCTTTCAAGAAAATTGAAAACATGGACTTAGCTTAGTGATGCGTAGCTTTCCATATATTTAATTAATTAGTTTTATATTCTTGTTTGAGATAATCATACTTTCCATATTGTAATCTGACCATTTTTTTTCTTGCATAAGGTTCACAGATGAAAATGAAGAAACTGAAATTACAATAGACCAAACAGAAGACGAGGATTTAGATACAAAAGTGTTACATTTGTTGATGACAATTCTTGGATTAGCAAAAATATTGATTGCATATCGATTTTTCAAACTCAAAAGCTATATTGAATATCCAATTCGACGGCCCAGCACAAGAATTGGATACAACTATATACACAAGGTGTTGCAAGAAGATCCTCAACATTATCAACAGTTGTATCGTATGTATCCAGATGTGTTTCTCAATCTATGTGACCTTATTAAAGAAACAACATATCTGAAAAATACAAGAATCATCTGTGTTGAAGAAATGGTTGCCACTTTTCTAGTCACCATCGGCCAAAATTCGAGGTATTGTCACACTAAAGATACTTTCAAAAGGTCAAAATTTGTAAAAAAGTACAATTTTTCACAAAGTCTTAAGGGCAATAAATAAAAATTTTCCGAGTTTGATGGCCAAACCCACACTCACAATACCTGCGGAAATCAGAGAGAGTACAAAATTTTATCCTTATTTTAAGGTATATGTATTTTTTAATATAATGTATCTTATACCTTGTTATTATATTCACGAAAACTAATATATCATATTTATTTTAGGATTGTTTAGGAGCTATTTATGGTACTCTTATACCTGCTATAGTTCCTAAGTGTGATGCTCCTAGCTATTGCAATCGAAAAGGAGTAATATAACAAAATGTGTTGGCTGTTTGCAATTTTGATTTGGAATTCATATATGTTCTAAGTAGATGAGAGGAGGCTCTGCTCATGATTCAAAAGTATTATATGATGCTTTAACGAAGAGGACTAATAAATTTGAAGTTTTACATGGTAATTTTCCTATGGTAAATAATAAGCTATACTTTCTTTACTAAATGATGAGCTAATAATTATATTTTTAATTTTGTTTCATGAAAATTTTATTTAGCTGATTGTGGATTTGCTAACAGACGCAGATTTTTGGCTCCTTTTCGAGGTACTAAATATCACCTTAAAGAATTTATTGGCCAAGGTTGTGATCCCGAAACTCCACATGAATTGTTCAATCATCATCATGCCTCCTTAAGAAATGTGATTGAGAGAATATTTGGAATACTCAAATCACGATTTTTCATATTTAAATCAGCTCCTCCATTTTCTTTCAAGACACAAGAAGAATTGGTACTGGCTTGTGTAGCTTTACATAATTCTCTTCGCAAGCATTGTCGTTCAGATGAGTTTCCGGTTGAAGTTCCCAGTGAAGCTACCAGTGCAGAAAATATGGAAGAGATGATTCTAAAAATGTTGAAGAAACTTGAGAGACACAAGATCAAAAAAGAGAAAGTGCTAATATGTATTTACTTAGTTTTATTTATTTGCTGTTGTTCAAAAACAAACAAAATTTTTATTTATATTCAAAAGACGTTCTAATAATGATTTTTTAATTTTTTTTTTTGTTGATTTGGAATTCAACGAATTCCATTAAAATACATTTTATTAAAATCCTTGTTATCTTATAAAACTAAGGTTAAGCCCGTCCTACGGGCAGGTGAGCAAATTAAAAATCACAAAAATTATATTTTAAACTAATCATATTTAAAAAATTTATTGGTGACTGTAAATAATTAATTTTCAATATTTGTTTTTGTTGTTCTTGTTAGAAAGTACATGCTTGTAAATTTTCTAATTAATATAATTATTTTTATAATTATTTTTTGTTATGTTTTTATTATAAAAATAAGGAAAATATTCATTAACTATTTAAATCCAATACAGAAATCATTTATTTTCTTTATTTTATACATTTATATTTAGATTTTTAGTTATTTAATTTTTTTTGTTCTATAAATAATTAATGTTTTCTCTTGTAATTGACCAGTAATTTGCATGGATTTTTTATTAGATATTTTTTTAACACTTTTGTTATTTTGAAATATTTTATTATCATTATATATTAATTATTTTATTTAATTACTATTTGTACCAGTTTCTATTAAAAAAATTTAATGCTTTGATATTCAGTCTTACTCTCGTTGCAAAAACTTAATTTCATAATATTATTGATATACTTTAGTGGGACTAAGACTATTTTTATTTTGGAACTATAGATTTTTTGGTGCATTTTTCTTATTTTATATTATATAGTTTGATTTCTATGATTATTTTATCTTATTTTATATAGCGTCTCTTTTTGTGTGTTTACAAATAATATGTTTTTAATTTTCATGTCCATAATAAATTTGTGCTTGAAGATTTTAGGGAATTTATAATATTACGATTTCTATTTTATAACATTTATTTAGATATACAATAACCTTTGATTTCTTGTTATCATAATAAATTTTTTTATCGTTTGTTCATTATTGTTTTATATGTTATATATTATTTTATGTTTTTCACTATTTTATTGAAATTTTCATTTTAATTATGTATTGTTTTTGGCTATAGGCTTTTATTAATTTCCTGTTAACAATTAGATATCAATGTTAGCTGCAAATTTCCCCAAATTAAAAGTTAGTAATGAACACACAATGCCTAATACTTATAAGTATAACTTAAGATTCCGGTAATATCATATTTATACTTCAGACCAGGTTAGGAATCTGAAAAGTTCAGTAGGTATGAGCCTAATAAATGTTGTTTTCTTAACTAAAGAGATTCCATTATTGAACCGAATGGAAAAAGGGGCATCCAACATCCGGAAATTGGGGGTTGCTGCGCGTTACATCGAACCCGCTCAACCTGTAGACTGACCCTTAACTGAGATGCTGCCTGAACATGAATTGACGGTTTGCATTAACAGAACCTTGAATAACCATCGAATGTTAGAAATGACAGATTATTTTCGTTTAGACAATCATAATGAAGCCAATCGTCAACATCGTTAATCGGAAAGGAGATGCTTACATTCTCGTCGATGAGGAGCATATCTAGACTCATGGGCTCACCGCCTTTCCTCAAATTTCTGGCCTCCCAAAACCTCAGCAAGTGAACCTCGGTGGTGTTGGAGCAGGGCCTGACTTTCAAACCGCCAAGGAGAATTGAATAAATCACCATTGTAGCAATCGGAAAGTTGAACAAACTTTTCTTTTATTAATGCTCGTCGAAGTTGTGCTGTTTATGTCTGCAAAAGGGATATATATACTCACACCTCTACATTGTTATTTTTGGGATGCGATAAGGTGGTTTCAATGATCCAGAGTGGATTAATCACTTATAAAATAGGAGGAAAGAATGTGCGAATCAAGCCTGCGTCGAGACGTTACAGAGAGTTGATAATTTATTCCGATATTTACAACCCTCGTCGGCTGATCTAGGGATCTCAAACGAAGATGACGATCACACCTGTAATATTAAAAGATCTCTATAATCTGAAATTTTAAACGCAATCTACAACAATAAACCCCCAAAATAAATATGTATTTTACCAATAATATATTTTTTTAAACTAATTAAATTTTTTTTCTAAAGCCCAACAAATAATTCTTAAACTTTAATGAGGTGACACATGGCATTTTTTGCCCCTCATGAAAAAAACTAACTTTATTATATAAGAATCCTTCTTACCTTTCAAAGAATCCTATCAAGTCCATTAAAATACTCCTAATTACAATTTCATCAATTTCCCTTAAATTACCAAATTCAATAACACCCCCTATGTTTATTCATCTAACTAAAAGAGTCCCAAAGATTTTAATCTTTGTTATGTTCCTTTTCTTTCTCTATAACAAAAATAATAATAGCTGAGAGATTTCAAGTTTGAAGATGATATACAAAACGATGGTTGTTAGTCAGACAAGAAGATGAATCTAATTCAAACAAGGATGGCGAGGAAGAAGTAGAGCGGCACCGTGATCTCCCTAAGATAGATCTTATCCTATGTCGAAGGTCTAAATTTTCCATAGTTTTCTTCGTTATCTCCTTCGATGTGTTGTTATATCACGTTATTTCTTCCGCTGTCGTTTCTCGCCGTCGCGGGACTGTTACGAGAAACTTGAGAACATTAATGGCCATTTTTGGGGTTTTTTCATCTTTGGTCCTTAGTATTTTGTATAATTTCATTTTTAATCCAAAAGTTATAAATTGTGCATATGTCTTCTCAAATTAACCCCTTAATTTCTTGATTGTTAATTCCAGCACATCTACATAATTGCAAAAATAATCTTTGATATTTTGATTGCTTTCATTTTTGCCTCCAAACTTGAGAAAATAAAAACATGGTTGAGAACATAAGATGAAGAAGACGAAGAAGAAAGAGATGTGGATCTACTTTTTTTTGTTTGTTAGTTATATTTATATTAAATAAAGTGAAAAGATATATTAAATTTAATTAAATTAATAGACATGTAGGGTACTTTAGTTTGTTTGTAACAAAGAGGTGGGTTTGGTTAAGCAAAACTACCGTAGAAGCAACAACTGCCCTGTTATGTTAATAAAAACTTGAAACTCTCTCTTAATGTAATATTTTCTTATTCATTTGCGTTATTTTACATATTATGAAATAACAAAATGATAAATATATATTAAATAATCGAGAATGAATAGCTATTAATATATAATAATTAAATTGGTAAGACACTACAAGAAAACTAAAAATTTACTAGGAAATTTTACTAGGAAAATATTTCCTCGTAAATTTACTACGAACTTACTTCGGTTTTACGAGGAAAACTAGTTTCCTCGTAAGGTCCTCGTACAGGTGAAATAGTTTTCCTTGTAAGACCGTAGTAACCTTACGAGGAAACTACGTGGCAAAAGTCCATTTCCTCGTAAACTCGTAATAATAACTTTCCTCGCAAAGTCCAAATAAAACCTTACTACGAAATTAGGTGGAATGGATTTGTTATTATGAAATTAGGAGGAACTAGATAGAAAATATCGAATTTAAATCAAAAACGTGTTTTGTACCTACATTTCCTAGCAATTTCCTAGTAAATGCTCAGATTCGGAAATTTCTATAAATACCACCATTTGTGATTCATTTGAAACACACCAAAAAAAAATCAGCTATAAGCTTGATCAAACACAAAAAAAAAATGTATGGTCCAGGAATATTTTCGAGTTACGGAAGTGGATGTATTCAGACATAGATAATAACGGGAGGGTGACGAAAGAATTTCTCGAAGGGTTGGAGACGTTTATGCATCAAGCAGATTCTACACCACTCACGCAGGAAAGTGGTGAGATGTTATGTCATTGTCGGAAATGCTGCAATACAAAATTAGGCCCTCGTGAAAATGTTTGGAAGCATTTAATAAATAGATGTTTCATGCCATATTATTATATTTGGTGTTACCATGGAGAAGACAATGCTAGTTGTAGGAATGAAGGTAGCAGTAGTAATAGCAATTTTCAGGTTGAACCGGTTGATCATTTACATAATGAAAATAGCTATCATCACCAAGAGGAACAAATGGTAGATTGTGATAGGGTTCATGATATCGTAGGTGATGAATTTGTAACTCATGATGATGATGAAGTTGAAGAACCTTATTTAGATGAAAAATGTTTTATGAAATGTTAGAAGCTGCGAATGAGCCAATTTACAGTGGTTGTAGAGAAGGTCTGACTAAATTGTCGTTGGCTGCTAGAATGATGAGTATTAAAACCGATCACAATATACCTGAAAATTGTATGGATGCATGGGCAGACTTGTTTAAAGAGTATTTTCTAGAAGACAATGTGTCTGCTGAATCTTATTATCAGATTCAGAAATTTGTATATAGTCTTGGGTTGCTCTCGGAGATGATAGACGTTTGCATCGACAACTGCATGATTTACTGGGGAGATGATGAGAAGTTAGAAGAATGTCGATTTTGTAAGAAGCCACGATTCAAACCGCAAGGTCGAGGGCGTACTAGGGTACCGTACCAAAGGATGTGGTACCTACCAATCACAGACAGATTGAAAAGATTGTACCAATCCAATCTGAGGAGACAGCTGGAGGGATGAGATGGCACGCCGAGCATACTCAGACGGATGGAGAGATGACTCATCCATCAGTTGCAAGAGCCTGGAAACATTTTAACAATGTACATCCACATTTCGCTAGCAGTAGCCGGAATGTGTATCTTGGATTATGCACTTAGGGATTTAGTCCATTTGGAATGTCTAGGAGACAATATTCATTGTAGCCGGTCTTTCTTACACCGTATAACCTTCCACGAGAGATGTGCATGCGACGAGAGTTTCTATTCATGACCATATTAATACCTGGTCCAAAACATCCAAAAAGATCTCTCGGCGTTTTTCTACAACCACTGATAAAAGAGTTGAAAGATTTGTGGTCAACAGGGGTGAGGACATATGATTGTTCAACGAAAACAAACTTTACGATGCGAGCGATGCTTTTGTTGACCATAAGTGACTTTCCTGCATATGGGATGTTGTCTGGGTGGACTACACATGGGAGATTAGCTTGTCAATATTGTAATGGAATGACAGATGCGTTTCAGTTGAAGCATGGTAGGAAGACTAGTTGGTTCGATTGTCACCGTCGATTTCTTCCCGTTTACCACCCATACCGAAGAAACAAGAATTTTTTTAGGCACAAAAGGGTTGTCAGAGACACTCCTCCTCCATTTTTAACTGGAGAACAAATCGAAGCGCAAATCGATTACTACGGTGCTCTAGAAACAGCTCCTCGTGGTGGGAATTGGCATGTTCCCAGTAATATGTCTGATTCTTATGGTGTTCAGCACAATTTGCACAAAAAGAGTATTTTGGGAATTGCCATATTGGAAAGATCTTCTTTGCGCCACAATCTCGATGTGATGCATATAGAGAAGAACTTTTTTGAGAACATTGTGAACACTATATTGAATGTCCCAGGGAAGACGAAAGACAACGTAAAATTGAGGTTGGACTTACCCGATATCTGCTCAAGGAGGGAGCTACATATAAAAAGCAATGGGCAAGTTCCAGTTCCAATATTCAGACTAGCATCAGAAAAAAGTCTGCGTTGTTCAACTGGGTGGCTTCAGAAGTGAAGTTCCCTGATGGGTATGTTTCAAATCTCTCAAGATGTGTTGAAAAAGGGCAAAAGTTCTCTGGGATGAAGAGCCATGATTGTCATGTCTTTATGCAGCAACGACTTCCCTTTGCGTTTGCGGAGCTACTACCGGCAAAAGTACATGAAGCACTTTCAGGTAATTAATTAATATGATACGATGATATGATTAATTTATTTCTTTATATATATATATATACTAATGTCGATAATTTTTGTTTTTGTAATATATAAGGAATTGGAGCTTTTTTTAAGGATCTGAGCACCTGCACTCTTAAAGTGGAAGTTGTCCAACAACTTCATGAAAACATCTGCGTCTTAATCTGTAACTTGAAGAAAATATTTCCGCCTATTTTTTTCCGACGTCATGGAACACCTAGTTGTCCACCTCCCGTATGAGGCATTACTTCGTGGACCTGTGCATTATGGATGGATGTATCAGTATGAAAGGGCCATGAAAACTTTGAAAGGAAAAGCCAAAAACTTAGCAAGAGTTGAAGGTTCTATTGTTGCGGGAATTTTGACGAAAGGAACATAACATTTCACATCGTACTACTTTGCACCGAAAGTACGTACAAGGAAACAAGCTCCAAGAAGATATGATGGTGGTGGTGTCGTGCCGACATATATGGAAGACGATGTTCCAGACATCTTTTTTCAAATTGGGCGATTGGGTGGGAAATTGAAAGTGGCTTGGTGGTCGAGTGATGAAGACGTCCATAGTGCACATCTTCATATTCTTCTTAATTGCGAGCATCCATTGATTGCTTATTTTGAAAGGTAAATATATAAACATACACACTTATATATATATATATATATATATATATTCAATATTAAATATATAACATAACATATATGATTTTACAGCCAATTTGTGACTCAAGTCGAGGAAGCAATACCTGGTATATCGACAACTGAGTTAGACAAAAGGAAAGATCAACACTTTATCAAGTGGTTGAGGAAACATGTATTTATTATTACTTAAATTTTATGCATACANATATATTCAATATTAAATATATAACATAACATATATGATTTTACA